GCTGTATTTGTTTGTACTATTAGCGCATTATACGCTCTAGTGTGCCTAGGCAAGATTGAGATACAAAAAAGTAGCGTCCTGATTCTATTTACATGTTTGTGTAACGTTCTTGCAGTTATCCGGGACGTCAGGCGTACGCAAGCGAGCATTTAGAAAATGTAAATTAAACATTTCTAGAATGATACAATTATCTGTTCTAATAATTATGCCAAAGTATATCATTTGCAACATTACAATGTGGTAAAAAGAGGACGCATTGAGGAAGCTACAGCGTGGACTTTGGGAATTCGAAAAACCAACAAATTGTACATACACTATTTGACGCCATTTTTTATTTGCTCCATCTATACAAACACGTCCTTCAGCCCGTTCAAATTCCATTTGGCCGTATCATACGCAATTCCGTGTTGTATTGGTGAAAAACCAACGACTATGTAAGTGTTTAGCAATCGGCGCCCGCAGCTGACTTTTTTGTTGACGAGGCCCAAATCGAGTTGGCTATCAACGGATCGCCCCTGAGGGCAAGTAGAAATTAGAAACAAAAAAGAAAAGAGAACCCCAGAAGCATATTTTGACATTAGAAAACTCATATCTTCTGGTTGGTTCCTGCCCTGTTTCTCGATGTGATCACCGTGGAGCTTCGAAGTAGTGCTAATGAAACTGCGATGTGCAGATAGTCCTTTGTGAATAAATACGTATCACAAAATGTAAATAATTGGACTAAGTTGGTATTGGTTTGAAGGTAAGAATTGGTTATATATATATATATATATATATATATATATATATATATATTGTAATGGCGAAAAATTGCATTTAATAATTGTGAAAAGTTAACTGCTACCTCTGCGGCCACAACGTAACGAGGATCTGAGAGAGTGAGGTAGCATATTATGTCCGATTCTCGTAATCTGACCCAGTCAAACGAAAAATTCAAGATTAATGAAAAAAAACTTTACTCGAACTTAAAAGTTTAAAGCTCGTATGGGTTTGACTAATTTTTTAAATAGCATACAAGGATTTACCGCAACATACGCTCAGCGTACGAAGCACTACCATCGCACTACTGCTATGAATAATATACTCGTGGACTATAGAAATACTAACCGCAGTGTGCTTAATATGCCACACCAGAATACTCGACTATTATAGAGAATAACGGGTAGTAAAGGCTATTCCAGCTATAAATGCGTCGATAGCTACATAAATTTACTTAGTAGTTCTAGTCCTACGGCAGGTACCTTCTAAGAGGCTAACGACGGTATGCCATGTTTACCTGACCTAAGTCCCTTGTTTGTACATCGACTGGTAAGTCGACCTTCTTACTACATGAAACCACTATTAGATGGAGTTTCTCGATAATGGTGGCTGTCTTGGAGTAAGTATAACTTCTAGAACAGCAATCGAAAGGCTCCGATTCTGAAACACACGGGTGGTACTGTAGCAAGGCTGCCTGCAATGCATTATCTGGTTCCTATTGTATCTCCTTGCATATTGGCATATGACACTTTAGAATGGGACTTTAGAGCCAGTAATTGGCCTTCGGTCAATTACTGGCTCTCGAAAGTCTCTTTGGAGTCTCTAAAGAAATTACTTTCTGTATTTACCATTATTATCGACTATGAGATGCGGATCCTCTACTGCACCCTAGAATGCAAACTATCATGGGTTTATCCCGGACAAACAATATATCCATAAAATCACATTTTATTGTATGCCTAGTCGAACTTGAAACGCGTGGCTCTTTGTAGACTTCGAAATCCCCGTGAAAAACTTGTTGCATATAGATGTGAACGTCAACTGATTAAATTGGGCAGTTCAATTGAAGAAAAAGGACTGGACGTCGGTCAAAGATGTAGCAGTTTTGCTGCATGACAGCAATAACATCCATAGAACCCTGAGAATACGAGGAAGCATCTTTTGAGCTATACTATCGTTTATTTCAATAGATAGATCTGTCAGTCGACAAGACGCTTTTCCAAAGTTAAGAAGTCAAAAAATAGATTTTTGACTGGACAAAGAGCTGAGAATCGACTGCGTAGCGCTCCGCGAACTGCCTAAGAAAAGGTAAAAACGGTTTTAGGTTGAATTTTATCAAAAAACTTTGGAGTTTTTTGTGCGCATAATTGAATTATTTTTGCATAGCACAGTCAGTCATTTTTGCATACGTAGTGTAAACTTTTTAGAAGTATGGTTATATACGTCGGACTTTTCAGACTGGCTTCTGGTTTGAAATAACCTGTTGGGATCTATTATTCCACGATATCATTCTAGCCAACTAAAGTAGCAAGGACCGTCATTTGTCATTATAAAAGCAACAGTTGCTTAGCTTAGCGCTAATTACTAAAACAACGAGAGGGAACCATTGTGTTTTCAACGAAATTCTTTCGTTTCATTCCAGATCTATTGAGAAGTAGTAGTACTATTTGAAAGGATAACGCAACAACAGAATGGGGCTGGCTTTTCAGAACCAGGTGAAAAAAAAAAAACTCATGTGTTTGGAAGAGAGTAAATACATTGAAGATAATGAAAAACACTAATAACTGATGACCGATGAAGCTTATCATATTAAGAGAGACGCGAATAGAATTACCAAATAGGCTTCTGATAGCGTATGTTCAAATCTACACAGTGGCTCTTTGTGCACGGTTTGATATCATTTAACATGAACAGTTAGTTCAATCCGCGTCGCTAGTGATAGACCTAGGAAGAGACGTACATCACTAATATTATCTATTGTTTTCGGCAGTGTTCAATGGATGGAGACCAGCTTTTTCAGCCAATCTATTTCCCGCTACCTGAGTGCTGTTTTCGTCACGATGGTGTCCGTATGGCGCAAAGCACACCGTTGAAATTTGCTTGTTCTAGATTATTCGAATAACCATAAGGGGCTTTAGTCCGGTCCGACTCCTAATATCCAAATTAAGTCACACTTCCGTTGCACACGTTTATGCCTCGTGTTCTCGCGCACTTATATTTATTTAATATGGTATTTACCTAATGAATTCGGACTTGAGTGGAGATTCTGATCGCTATTATGGCAGCTACAGATTGATGTCGTTCATGACTGCTGATGACGATAGTTAAGTCTTAACTTTTCTGATCATTGCATGCTTCAATAGTTACTGTAAGGCTCGAAACCACATGTTTTCCCCTACGCGCATACAATAGGATGCTGAAATCGTGACGCCGAGCAACCCCATGAGAATTCCTTCTACATCTAAATATCAATTTTTAACTGTGTAACAATATAAAATCCAGTCAGTGTAGTAATCTATATATATTTTTTGTTCAATTAGATGAAACATAGTTGTAGTTTGCTTAGAGCATAAAATAAGATTCACATAAAAATTAAATAAAATTGCAATTTACGACGGTAGTACAAAACGATTGGAAAAGCCGCGTTGAGCAAGGTTCCGAAATTATAAAAGGGATTAATTATTTTACATATCTCTAGCATTAGGATTCCACCTAAAGATCTTCTGCTTGTTGGTCAAACACAAGCCGGTCCTAAACATGCCACAAAAAATGTATTTGGATCGAGATACGTCACTTCATTTTGGAAAGGGTTTGGCGGGCGTCGGTTCCAGTTGCTATCTGCCTGAACTACACTAATGAAGTTCAACGTTATAGAGGAATCTATTCCTGGTAAAATTTTTCTTTGAGTGCATAGCCGGTGCGCACACGTAGTTACGAGATAATGGTAATATGGAGTAAATTGAGTTGTATAGTTCTCCGCACGCCAAGTGTGTGTACAAATGTATTATTTAATGACAATTTACTTATCTATTCTGATACTGAAATAATGATGTATTGGACTTTTGCTTGTTAAACGAAACAAGAGAAACATTGTATTCGAAACGTACAATAGAAATGAGGCAAAGCTACTTCGTTAACAACGCATATTAAACTCAGAGCTAAAATCACGTTTGACTTAATTGTATTTTATAAACACTTATCGCCATACAGGGTGTTTTGACTCTCATACTAGCCGCAAATTTAGGTAAAGTGTGTTTTTCTTCTTCTATTATTTAAACGAGGTTTTCCACTTACTCTAAACCGTGCTTAACAATCTTCATATGATTTTTGCCAGTACCTCGCTCTGAAGGAAACATTAAACCATCATATCTGAACGGTGCAATATCCGCTAGCGCAAGCTGACAGCAGCGAAGTCTTTCTAGATTACAGTGTCTGAAGGAAAATGAAAAAAAAACAGCACTAGTAGTTCGCGAGAGATAAAATCTACTTTGTGATTGTGTATCTAATTGCAGTAGCCATTAGAGGGTCTTTTGCAAACACTTAACATACATAGCGAAGGGTATTATGTCTTTTTTAAACATATCGTATAGTGGCAAAACTTTTTATGGAGTAGAATTACTCCGTTTATCTTCCTAATCACTACATTTTAAATATCGAAATAATAGTAACGTCAAAAATTGAGATTTCACTTAACTAGAACTTGCAATTCGAGTACCGTTCGATCTATATATATATATATATAAAACGACATATATATATATGTCGTTTTGAGTCGTCCGACAAATTTTTGAAGCATTGCTGGGCACAAGGTCGTTTGTAAAAAAAAAAGCCAAGAAACAAAACAAACGTTTACAGAATCTGTGCCAGATTGTTCTGGCCCTCACCCCTAATCGCCAAAGAAACAAATAACTGCATTTAAATCAATCCGTGCTGGCAGGCCTTCTTTAGAACCAGCATTGTTTTCTGTCCGTCGATTAAACAGTATCGGTCGGACAAAGCACATTATACGCGGTGAGTTGTTTAGTTCCGATATTTAAGCCAAGTTTTATGTGCATCGTTGGACTCAAACTATCGGTTACAAACGGTAGTTGGATTGTGTACCGCATGCATTGGGCGAGAGCAAATGTTGTTGTTGATATAGTTCAGCCTTGAAGCGACAATCCAACCGCCACTACCACCCGGAATTAGAGAAATCCCGCCTAATTTGTTTCACCACCCTTTAGGTAGGTTCTAACGAGCAAATTTTATCTACAAATAACGTTATTATCCTTATATACAGACATGCAATATTTTCTAAAATATTGTGAAGTGGCAATATTGTCAAAGTTTTCCAGTATTGATGGTTTCGACGAGGTTAGCTTTTTTCAATCTAATTTGAACCGTCTCTGTTCGAAGTGGTGGAAACCATATGCGTAATTCATAAGCAACTAATTTTCCGGCCATCACCGCACTCACTGGTATAACAATACTGACCTTTGTTTATTTTTTACTGTGTGCTTCATGTCAAATAGGAATGTGGAAATACACCTAGGCTTATTTACCCATCAAAGTTGAAATCTAAAATGGCGCAATCTGATACTGATTGGATAGTGGCGTTCCGTTGTGTTAATCTGACGCTCTGTTTACCCGACAACTTTAAATAACTAAATTTTACTCTCAGCAGTCTCAGGAGAAAAACATATGTGAATTAGGTGTTTAACTGTTGCATCAGTGGCCATAAAATTATTTGGCATCTACAGAATATCAAATATGAGTGAAACCACACATAGTAAAGTTAAACCTTGCCCCACTAGATACACGGAGAGCACAGTAGACAAAAGCAGGTAGTATATGCGCTCGTGGTTGCAAGTAACTTCATCAATAGCACACGACATAATATTCAACTAAGTGCGAAAGGTAAATACCTACAGCGGACCTATTTCATGTGGTATATATCGTCTAGTATATGCCAAGCAGTTGAAAGAGGATAGAGTATAGTTCGAATAGCAAATAGGAAAGAATCCAAATGAATAATAGAAAAATATATATAAAATACATAATCTGAGTGGCTGCTGTGGTGACCGCGAAGTCAGCAGCGTTTAAATCACCAAATGACGTTCCTTATTCGATGGATAGTGTCGATGCAGTTTTACAACGCTAGAGTTTGTCAGGGATTTCGCACGATTAAACTGGCATCTCCCTAAGCATGTACTACTGAGTCTTTTCGCAGAAGGCTACACAACAAAGCAATCATTAAAATCGATGGAGTCGTTGTTGAGGTGCCTAGATATAATTTTTTGTCGTTACAAGAGTATAAGCAGTCATGTTGAGTAATGTCAAAATATTCCAATGCTTTGTTTAAAGTCTGCGTGAAAATTTGTTATCCATGCGTGTTTGTAGGCGGGTCAGGAACGAGCGTGGAAAGCCCATTTGTCCATCTACTTGGTGCTTACACGGGCCTCATCATTGAGTTCGTGCGTGATGGTAGAGACCAAACGAGGCAGGCAGGTAGCTGCCGGCGGAAAAGAAAACCAGACAAGTTCTCAAGCCGCGTCGAGTGGTCGAGGAACGAAAAGAAGCGCAGAGAAGGCTGGCGCTACTTCGGCAAAGTCAAACAGCGAAGCTAGTTCAGTTTCTGGCACTGCAGTCATTACAGGACCCTCCTCCTCAAAAGGTATCAAGAAGTAATTTAAATTATAGTAAAATGTCGATTGCCATAATTATCGAGCCCAGAAGGCATATATGCGCAGTTACTGTAGATGCTCGTCTTTTTATTATCTATGTCGAACGCAGATCGTCTGCTTTGAATTAGACTGAAAATGACAAATAATCGACAACTTTATTTCGTCCTGCACAGTTAGCAAATATGAAAAGGCGACCAAGTCGCAAGCGCAAACAAGTGAGTCTCCAAAGGCCGCAACAATAACTACGACGACGACACCAACGGCAACGACAACAACAACAGCTCGTCGCTCAACCGACTCGAAAACACGCTCAGGAGAAAAAACTGTAGAAAACACTGGAAGTGAATCGAGCAAATCTGAAGATAGTCGTATGGGTCACCGAAACTCAGCGAGTGGCTCTAAGCAACGCGTATTCAACGGGCTAAACCAAGAGGTAGGAACGCCTGTCGTTATTTGGCAGCCACACAAAACAACGGTTTCAACCAATTACACTTTGTGAGTTTCGGAGAATTAAGAGTGGTTCTTGCTTGAGTAAACCGATTTGTCCCTTAATAAAAATTTATTGTGTTTCACTTTCTTGTTGTAGTAATTTTTTACTGTTTAAGGCTACCTATTTTTAGAAAAAAAGCAATATTTTTTATCGTAATAATAAATTACTAAGATGTGCCTTTTTTATCATATGCAAAGAGTAGATATGTAAGATTATTTAACAGGTACAATCCAGTTTAGATTACGATTGATTTTTATTTGTATGTTGACAGGTCGAGCGAATCCTGGGCTGTACGGAACACGAGGGTGAATTGGTATTCCTCATCAAATGGAAACATTCAGATGACGCTCCGCAAGTAGTTCCTGCCAAGATCGCGAATATCAAATACCCGCAGGTTGGTAAGCCTAGAGAGATTATTTTGTAGACCTTCGGAAATACCTAATGAATTTCTATATGAATTTTCTATATGAACTACAATTGTAGTCGAAGCGAAATAGGTCCCTAGTAAGTTATGCCTTTCACAATGTGTGTTTTTCCAAAATTAAGTGATACCTGTTAGCTAGACTTGCTAAAACAGTAGCATATATATTAGGCTAGAGTTTTGGTAACGGATTTGTGACTTATTCTATGTCAATTCTCTTTAGTGCTGTTTTACAGCTATTTTATTTTTTATTAGACTTCTTAGAGGTCTAAGACAGTTTTATAATTAATTTATTACAAACGGTCGAAGTCACTGACGCATACACTACTTACAATCTAAATTGCAGAAGGTGATAGAGTTCTACGAGCAGCGTATTGTTTGGGATGACCCGCTGTGAAATGCCCGAGAAAAGTCTATGCAAATAATAATGAAAATGATAATAATCATAATAAAGTTTATTACAACGACAACGGATCATATAGAGAACAAAAGCAGTGTCAATTCTTATGTTAAAAGAATGAATGAAACGAACCTGAGACTGTAAAGCTAATCTGTTTCTCGATCAAAGAAGAAACACGAGGGCCAACATGACGATGCCCATGTAAAGCAAAACCTACGGTTGTTTTTCGTCGTCATTAACGCCTCGCAATACAGTGAAGTACCGGTGTGCACCTCATCGTGGTTCAGTGCTATTCCCGTTTGCTGATTTGCGTCAATAGATAGTGAAAACCCGAAAAGGGCCTGATGAGCTTACCACACTCGTTTGAAACGCGTACGCGCGTTTACATCTGTGTAAATGTGAAGGCCCAACTCAGAAATATGTCCCTTTATTCATCTCTATAACACAGTTTATGTCAATATGCCGCGCCGTACAACGGCAAGAATGTTATGCCATGAAGGTACCGTGGAAAGAATATGGTTGTGCTGTATGTTCTCGCCTCTTGAGTTCTCAGCTTGTTACCAGCCCATACGTGCTCGGATCGCATTAAACAGGTATGGGAATCAAGAAGTGAGTTCCTCCAATAGAATCCGTAACCTCTAAAACGGATTAATAATACGTATGTTAATGAGGTGAGGGAAACGAGCACGAAATTTGTGGGGAGTTCATCATATTCGGGTTGAAATAATCTATTTGATCTAGACAATCTTCGCAAGATATCGTACTGTACAATTGTATGGCTTCTTTATTAATTGCGAAAGAGGTAAATATAGTCTGAGTGATCCATTCCGCTGAAATATAAAACCATAAAATGCAAGTGAATTAGGGCAAATTAATTACGCTTTTCGCCCAAGCAATAATCATTATGTTATTACTGCATTTTTGTGGATATATATATATATACATACATACATACATACATACTCTAAGTGCCATCCACAAATCTTTATACGCGAACTAGCCAAACAATGAATGAACTCGTAAAAACATACACCAGTTGTAATATTTATTCACGGGATGCGTTCCCGATTTTGAACAAGTACAGCGAACATGATCTGGTGGAAGCATCTGCAAATTGTGGAAAAATGCTATTCGTAATAGATATGTTAAATTAGTGAGTGGAAGATTATGTTTGATGGTGTAATTGTTCCTCTGGCCGTAGCCTCTCTCAAGATAATGTCTATGTATATGAATATTCGCCTTGTAAATAAATTGCGAGACACTTATGAAAGACGTTTTTATTTGGATCCCTTCAAATCTACTTTTGTATAATAACTATTTTGAGTTGACTTAAAACCGATTGAAAAGCATTCTATTTTGATCAAACTTTATTATTATTTTTGGAATTATTTTTTTTTGGGTAACATCGAGCAGCTATATGGGCTTCTGTAAGCTATAATATATTCAATTATAAGTGAGCAATTTTTTGACCTTGGAGAATGAAAGAAATGGAACGGCATGGAACTCAAAGAACCGTCAAAACTGTTCACTTTACATTAGTGTAATGTTCAATATGAAAGTTACTGTCAGATATCAATAATACGATTTGCCCTGTACCAAATCACAATTTTGTATAATGAAATGATTTTACTATATTAGAAGAAATGTCACTCTGCCTATTTATTTATGTATTTAAAGATATATAAATTATCGCACAGTCATAATTCCATAATATTGCAAGAAGAGACAAACTTCCAAGCAAACGTGATAACCAAAGCATACGCCTACTAGAATTAGGTGCCATTAGTCCACAGTTGTTGAGCCCTAATGGCAGTCTTTAACTGGTTCCAACAGCAGAGAGGAAACTGCTGCACTGAACTAATAGAATTTGTTAGCTAAAGGCAAAAACTACCCAGAAATTACGTGTCCAACGAAATCTGTGAATTACAAGTACCCATTTATAGTAAATAATGTAATAACAAGATGATCAGTTTGCAGGAAATCACATCACAGATGCGTCTATAGATTACTTCAGACAAATTCCTTGAATAACTGTAAAACTCTTGCAATAGGCTCATCATTCAGCCAGACTCATCTAATGACTAAGTTAGACATTTTCAATAAATATTTTAGGAGCTTCTAAAGGGTGCGCTTGTTAATAAAGGCTTTTGGCGTTGCACATGTTACAATGCAACAATTTTCTCCCGCAACTCTTACTTGTGACAAAAAGTTGAAAAAAGACTCTCTTAGTTTAAGGAAAGCTTTGCTTTAAAAATACAAAAGTAACGTTTAAAAGGCGTACAAAATTCCAGCGTTAATTTCGACCAATGAAGCTTAACATTATTTAAGATCAGCATCAAAGGCGGGCATTTTTCCATGATGATGTATCTGGGCCACATCGATGGTTTGGCCCTGCATCAGCGGGACGTGCGGTCGCTGTCCCAATCGGGTAAACTGAATGAACTAAGCGTAGTGAACCTTTAGAAAAAGCAACAGCATCAAGACTAATTTATTAAGGTGTTAGATTTTCTACCCAGGAATTTTCGTCGACTAGTACCTGTAGCTTCTAAAAACCATGACATATCTAATGTATATATATGTAATATGTACCACAAATGAAACTTGTGGAAAAAAATCCCAAAGGGAAGCTTTGATAACGAAAAAGAGTGCTATGGATACACCACCAGGTTTTGTAATGTTAGTAACTCATACTTGTGTATATTAGTTATAAAACAGACAGATCACTTCAAGTAGTATTTACTGAAATAAAATAGTAAGATGAAGCAGTTTGCAAAGTTATTACTCACAAACGAATTTTTACTAAAATTGATTGCTGGTAAAATTAAATTGCATCTATTGTTATAAATTGAAATTTCACTTTCTTTAGTAATTATTAAAAAATTAGTTAGATTTGTTAAAAATAAGATGATTACCGTTACCCTCTTTTGATAATTTCGAAGCAAACGAATATGAGGCAGGTACACCAACGTCTTTCCGATCCTCCTTATTGTTTGCCTTTCATTTATATTTGGTTTTTACATTTGTCTACAATTAAATCCCGAATATGCTCGTTGATGGCAACCTCAGTCTTGGCGAGTTCCGATGATTTGGTTACCTTGTCAGCAATCAAGATGACAGCCCTTGTAACCCATAGTGTGAAAAGCAGAGAGAAATAGTTGGCAGATAAAAGAACAGACTAACTCATCCGCGGAATGAGAAAACAGTATTAACATAGGCTCCTTGTTATATACAAAGAAAACCAATAGATTGAATCTACTACTTATAATACTGTTAATCCAGCCACAGGTTCCTTAACCTCAACTTTGGAACCTTGTACAAGGCTATCATTGAGTATTTTTATACTAGACTAATATTTGGAGAAAATAACGATCCAAAAAAGGAATTGCTGTTCGTATTGATAGATGTAAAAATGTAACCTCGCCGAAGATTATATAAAAAAAAAAACACGTTTTTTTATTGCATTCGAGTTAAGCATTAGTGAAACCAGCCGAAACCTTCATTCCGGCTAGTTATTGCGAAGGTGTTAAGGCGTTCTTGGTCATCGCTTGGAATTATAAGCCAATAAAGTTCTACCAGGTTAATATTATTTAAAATTTTTTTTTATTTTAATCTCTATTTTAATTTCAGGCAAATCCACTGTCACTCGATTGCTAACGGTCGACAATACATGTAGTGACACAACAATGCATGCTGTTTCGGTCGAACATTAATTAGGTTCGTATAATCGTTTTCGTTTAAAACGTTGAAGAGCTAAACTAAAGGATGCATCAAGGCTTTTCTTGGAGATTACGACTATCTACTCGAAAAGGACATTACATGAATTGATCTTTCTATTGCTATATATCTCATCGTAACCAAGATATCCCTATTCTAATATGATACAATAACTTAGTAATCAAATAAATGATTAAATCGATTATTAAGACATTGTATTGAAATTTCGAAGAGTATGCCCCTCTAAATGTTCATGATTTATCAGGCGCCCCAGTACGTGCAACTTCATCTCGGCACTTAATAGTTTAATGCGAAAAGCACACGCATGGATGAATATTTAGTAGCATGTTCACACTCCACTCCACGGCCGATGAGCCAATTCTCAGCCCTACTTCGTTTATCGAAATGAAGACCTTCATTTCTATATAAATAATTCTGTATGTGTTATCTTCAGCCTAGACTACGTCTTACCAGAAAATATCAACATAATGAATATCGAATAATTCCGTGCATTAGCTAACGCAAGTTAACAAATGTTAGCTAAGACATCTACATAAAAAAAGCTTTTTATTTATTTACGAAAGGCCACCTTTGCAGGAAAAGTTCACATACAGCTTATGGCACCTTTAAAATAAACATGAAAGTCTTTTTTTCATTAAATAGACACCTACAATAGAAGAATAACATTTTCCTGTGGCTCAAAATTGGTATGCTGTATAGGTAATATTGTTATATACGATATTATACATCACAGCCATATATCTGTATTATTAGTGTTTAAACCATGTATTGAAGTTTATTAGACTTTACATTAAGACTAATTCTCATTGCGTCCTCATCGTTTACCTGCCACATTCAGTCTCTGTTAGAAAGAATATGACTTATTTTTGATCGAAGCAAATGCTATTTCCGTTACAACTGTTTTGTGTTTACGGTTGCTGACTCATATAGCTACTGCGTTTCTTAACGTTTCATACTTTTTACTTCCTGTACATACTCTCTGTTTTACGTTGTTCTTGTTGACAATAATGAAGAAACGTATTGTTGTTGCTGTTTTAGTTTTTCCTGCTTTCTTCTATTAAGATATTTTTTAACAAAGTATTCTCCAGCTTTGTAGCTACTGCGTACCAATGGACCTGATGCCGTATACACAAAACCCAATGAATTACCGTACTCCTCCCACTGTTTAAACTTATCGGGATGAACATATTCGACCACCTGTAAACAAATATATTAGGGTAAGCCTTTAGTTACAAGGCTAATTAAGTTACAATAAAAATGCTGGTTGGTTTATCTGTTGGCGGCTTCAACTGATTTTACCAATACCAGCTTCGTTTCTAACCATTAGTACCTGTTGCCAAATACTAACCTAATAATCGTTACTCTAATAAGGCAATTTCTGCTGATATATCGTACACGAAAAGAAGACGCTGACATGCTTCAGATAAGAAACTTATGTTCAGCATTTTACCTTAACGTGTCGCTTTGTCGGTTGCATATATTGGCCAAGGGTGAAGCAATCAACTCCAGCTTCACGTACAAGATTCATAGCTCGTTTTACCTAAGTCAACAAGGTGGTTATTAGAAGCGAAAAGTATATTATCGCTTTTAAACATACAAGTATCTAACTGACATCCATTGATGGTCCGTCAATTAAAATAAAAATAGATTCACAAACGCGGGTCGCGGGGTATATGGATAGAAGTAGTTAGAGATACAAGAAGCTACTGCAGAATATTTAAGGAGATATTTTAGTACCGGCAGCAGCTGTCACAATGGTAGGTTGACGAAACGTACCTGTTCGTCCGTTTCGCCGAACCCGAGCATAATCGATGTTTTGGTGAGAAGTTTGGGCTCGAAAACTTTAGCAGTCTTCAAAACAGCAAGACTTTGATCGAAGTTCGCCCGCCGATCGCGAATCAACGATTGCAACTCAGGTACGACCTATTTCGTACCAGACAAAGAGCGAAATGATCTTCGATAGAATATAGCCACGAAGTGAAGCCAGAGGTACACAAAGTTTTGTGTAAAGGTTTATAAAGGCATGTGTGCGTGTTATAATACCCGTGGTGTTATACGGGTGCCGTAGGTGTTTATGGATGGAACCCCATCTTTTAAAACGAGTAAAGTTTCAACATACAATAAAGCAAAAATCTTCTGAGAGTTTTGAGAGTATTCATTTTGCATATATTTAAGCATTCAAGGGGCCAAAGGATGAAGTATTAAGAAAAAATGAGTATCACGAAAAATCTTAAATTGTAACTTAGACACCTATGTTATCTACTCGTATCGATGTCTCAGAAACGGCTTGAACGACTCTGCTAATATTAGTTGCACGACTTGGGTCGATGGAAAAAAATTCTATGTTGAAAAGGTCTGTTTGGAAAAAAACTCATTTGCATGTTTAAGATTTACAAAACTAACCCGTGGACCTAAGGTACGCGCTAGTTGATAAAGTATATTGGCAAAAATGTGTCAGTAAAATTCATGGCTTGACATAACGAATTAAGACATTTTTATAGACTGCTTTTGTTAGTAAGTGCAAATGTCATGATTCCCTGTAAAAAGTAATGCACTACCTGCTATATGTGGAATTTGTATAGTGGAAAATTTATGGTGTCTCGTTTCCCAGTTACCCTAATGGGCAAAAAGCGTTATAGAGAAAGTGCCTTTAAGTGTGTACTCTCCAGAACAAGCGCCTCCACCGTGTGCCAAAGAAATGATCATGTTTGATTAATGCTTCGCTGCCACTACTGCTTTCTCCTTGTCCTCGCCGATCCTATGTATTTTTTGTGCATTCTACAAAAATATATTTACGTCTTACATATTTCAATATAATCTCTGAAGTATCACTAATCACATACACAGTCGACTGGATTAAGAATTAATTATTTACTGAGACTCAGCAGAAGTTCGGGTATAAAATTGACAGCTCCCGTTCGTCACAAAAAGCGCAAATTGTAGATGAGTGCCCAGAAAATTAGACCTCGCTATCGTCATTAAAGCCCGTGTACACGCGGGTTATGATTGCAGCGGCTCCGAACGATAAACAGAGCAACTTGTTACTACTTAACGGGGCTATATCGGAAGAAAGGATGCATTTGGTGAAGTGCGAACTGAGCAGTTTTATAAAGTATTCCTGAAACGGGACTCAAATAGTGTTTGAATGATTACCATTTCACTCGTTCGGACATCTTTTTACCAACGGCTGTGAATTAGTCCATTAAAACCAACGATTAGAACGGTTAAAATAGAACATCCTTGAGTAAAATAACGTTCCATTTTGATTTACCAAACTTAATTTAAAATATATCGCTTTGAATAAAGCCTGGGAAACTACAGATTGGCAAAGCTGAGCAGCAGCTAAATAACCGCAAAAGCAGAAGAAACGGCTTCGCTCTTCCGGGATATTTGTGTGGTTACAGATTGATGAATAGAAGTGTAACCGTGCAATAAAGGTCACGGCATATCATTCCTATGATTTCCACCGATCTTCATAGATCTCTCATCTTTATTACATTTGAACGGATTTTCTATGGTATTGTTCTTTATCTACTAACGTAAGCCAAAAATATGAGAGGGATATATGTCGCACTGAAATTACAAGATTAATACGACATCCCGAGTAAAGTTTATGTAAAATTGCGTTAACTAGCGATAAATGGTCCGTTTAGCTTTACCTCGATGTTGTGGGCGTAAACGTCTAGACCTGACGCGGCAACGGTCTTCACACCTTCCAGATCACCTCCGAAATCCCCTGTCAGACACTCAACTAGGAGATTTGGTTTGATCCGTTTTATTTCTGTCACCTGAAAAGACCCGACAACCACATAACCTCAGACGATTAGTTGCTGACCGCATTAAAAGCTTGCCTGAAAATGAGCAGTTATATGAATTGTGCGTTAGTTAAGAGTCGGTTTTCTCAAACGAAATGGTCCGAAAAATATAGGTCAGCGTAAATGGCAGTATGAGCAGTAAGCCTCTGCCGGTAATGCTGAAATTTAGCATAACACATACGTTCATCCAAGCGACGAACCAAAAAGAAAGGTAGGAGATGTACTACTGTAGAGTAGTCAATAAACTAGGCGAAAACTCACAAGCAATTTTGTGTCACTTCAGAGTTATCATATCAATAGAAAAGTACAAACCGTTTGGGCAAAGTGAGCAGCCCCTCCATCAGGAAGGTCATCTCTGTCAACAGAAGTGAGGACCACGTAATCGATGCCCCAATCACATACGGCAACAGCCGTGTTTACCTGAAAATTATGTACGAAAATCAGATTGCTTAAAAATCCTAGGCTATGTTCAACTAACTGAATGTGAAGCCAGGTGCAAAAACCGCTTCTGCATATTTTTAATCAAAACGCGAGCATGGCAAGAAGTAAGCAATACAAGATGATATTTAGGACAGAACAATCTGCTTGTGCATCTCTTACAGGTTCGTTTGGATCCGGCGGAGGGGGTTTCCGAGATGTCTTTATAGAACAGAATCGACAAGCCCGCGTGCAAGTATCGCCCAGAACCTGAAATTGATAAAGAAAATATTGCCAATAGCCTCATAATATATGTGACCCTCGTTCTGCTACTAAGCTAGTCCTATAGTAATCAGACCTATGAGTATCACAGGCAATTGGATGTTAAAACACTAAGATAATATTAACATGAATCAACCGTTATATGATCATAGTGTCTAAGTATTTTTAAAGCGAAGCCAAGCCAAACAAATAGATACAAGAAAATCTATTATATAATATTAGTGCTAACATTGGTTGTATAATAGACGCTCACCATGATGGTTGCTGTGGCGACGTGGTCCTCGCCTCCGCCCCAGCAGGTGGACATATTGGGGCACCGTGCCTCCTCGCATACTGTATACAATTTCTTACTTCGCAGCGATTCTTTCAGTCTGTAATATATTTTTAGATGTAATTTTAAGTTGTATACATCATATTCGTATTTCCACAATAAATCGCATTTTATGTGCGAAAAGTATGCGCTTATATATATTCTAACCAATAGCGTTCTAACCTTGAGTAGTTTTGGCCGCGTGGGATTTCGGTTTTTAACCAAGGGGGTAGCCTTAATCTCTCGTTTTCCCCCGGCTCACGTTTTAATTTGTGCTTGTAATTAGCCCATGTGTCACCCTGTATTGTCAAACAAAAGCACTGTGACAATTTTACGATTGAAACTTGATAAATATTAACGATAACGATTTATAATCAAAATGAACTTAAAAATATACAGTTTAGTATGTGCTAAACGGTTTGTGTGTAAGCAAATGGTGGCAATCGTGCCACAAAATCTAACTACATAGCTTCGGTATTTTAAATAAGAGAAATACGAATAGTAAAAGGATTGAAAAATCGCGTCAGGATTTCCATTGTTCTAAGTTGGTTTGGGGTAAAGCAGACGTTTAAACTTTTTAATGAATATGCTTACCGATTTTCATTTTCAACCCATAATTTTGTTCAGTTGAAAACATTATTCAAAAATGAAAAGTAATGGCCTTTTTCACTAGAAAAAAAGTATTAATAATTAAAAAAGAAAGATAATTATAATATAACATAAACGATATAGAGTGCCGATATTGTTAAAACATGTTATTTTCGAACAATCGCCAAAAACTACATAAAAAGTTGTCTTTTTAATAATTTAAGCACAGATTGCGCGGTTATAAATTGTACCTATATAAACGACGTTAAATTTTTTCATGGAAACGAGCAAGGTTATAGAAAAAAGAGGCGCAGTAAACCATAGTGTTCGTTGAAATAGTTTGTTCTTTCAGTATATTGGGGAAAAAAAGTACACAGTACCTTCGTAATGCTGCCTTGAATAAAGTCGCCGAGGTCTGGCCCATCTTCAATGTTTGCAGTGTTTGATCTATTCGAAGTACTCAGCGGAGCACGGTTTGAAGTTAAAATAGGTCCCGATGACGCTAAACTTTGCAGCTGAACACATTGTCTTAGCATTCTGGCAATTAACGCAACTGTTCTATACATACTTACTCAATGGTATGATAGCCTCACATAGAGCTTCAGTCCTAAATTCAGGTCGACTTTCTTATTGAATTTAGAACAGATTACAATGTAAGTTTGATGTGAAGGGTACAGATGGTTCTTTGATTGAGATATATAGCTGCTGAATATAACTCAGGTCTTTTTAAGGGTTGTTGATAATAACACGCTCTATGAAATTAGCGCTAACTTTTTCATTTAATAGCGCTTCTATACAATGTATTTTATGATTGGAAACTATTTTGTTGATAAGAGGATATCGCCACTTTTAATAATATACGTGCTGTAGTATAAGTAAAAGATTATCTCAAACCTGAACGACTGTCGAGTATTCTATTGCGCGCTGATGACCATCAAACAAGCATGATACGGCTGAAAAGACGAGGAGTGCCACGTACATCGGAATGAGTGAGAATTATGTATGTCATCCTGTACACCGTAGGTGAGCGCGCCGAACGGTAAATAAAAAACGTGTTTTTTTCTATTGTATCAGAGGCGTCTTTATAAATGTGTAGTTTTAAACTGAGTTATCTGCGTTAACAATAAGGCAACTGTGTTACACAATTTTAGTAGTTTTTAATCTCATCGATAATAACAAAAATGAAAACGTACTCTATTTAAAACTTAGTTTACAAAGTGTAATAAGTTGCTGAACCAAAAAGTGTACATGCTATTCATATTAAGTTATAGTAGAGTTGATCAGTAACCACAAGAGTGCAACGGAAACAAGAGTCATTTCATTTTAGAGGATACAAATTTTGTGCATCGGAGACGTCTTACGGCTTACCACATCTGCTTAATTATGTATCTTTAGCGACGTTACCTATTTCGATATAACATGTGAACATGGACAACAAGCAATAGAATACGCTTCTAGTATGACATTTTTAATAGTAAATGAAGGCACCAGTCGCTGTCTTAGCATGACTGTTCACCAATATCCTGACCGATTCGTATCGAGCTTTAATCATGGTTATTTAGAATGTATTTCTGTCCACTTAAAACTGGTCTTGTCGGTGAAGAGTACGCATAATTCTAATTGATAAGTTAATTTCGACAGTAAAATTGGTATTTTTGTCAGCTACATTTCTCTCATTTCTTGCCTGGCTGCTACAGCAGCCCCATGAGTCTCAATTGATATAATAAGATATAGCAGTCAAACATGTGAAGGAAGGTCGTGCTCAGCTGGAAAATATAAACATGTCGCTGCATGAACCATACATTCACGTTTCTTTTTCAGAAAAAAGTGACTACAAGTAAAAAATCAATTTAAGAACAGGCCTCATAGAAAGTTATAATATACAGGAATGCTTAATCGCCTCCAGTCAATATTATTACCAACAATAACAAAGAGCGATTTTCAATAGATCAACTAACAAAGACTCCAAATAGTCTTTAATTCATTTGCGCGTTGTTTAGATGAACGCGTTTAGGAGCAGACGAAATATGTGTTAAAACAACACTAAAGAATAAACCAAATGAATATTTAGAAAATCTATAATTGACGTATTAACCGCAGCTATTTATTTCTACTTAATTTAAAGGTGTAAAATATTTAAGCGGCCACAACTGCCCCAAGTTAGTTGCCCACGTTGTCAAATAGACAACTGACTGCTTCATGTTAAAACACTAGCACTGGTCTGCCTGTTTCATGCGTAAATTTAAGCAATGCCAGAACGGTATAATGATTAGATTCACTTGTCAACCTCTCCATCGTGTTTGAAGCACCGTGTGGTGCGGCCGTTCTAATCAACTTGAGTGAGCGAATGAGTGACTATATGTATAGTAGCGTCTCAATGACACGGACTGTAGAGACGGGAGATGTGCTGCATCCATCTTATTACCTGACCCGAGTCTGCTCACGGATCTAGATGTGATTGGAACCTTCTACGGCCATTAGATCATTGCGCGTTTTGCTCTCCTTTTCCCTTGAGTATCGCACCGCACGCGATCGTTGCACTTGACTTGAGCAAGCGACTGCTGCCGGCTCGCATCTCCCATCTCTTGTTTCTCAAGTTGTTTCCTCCCCCACGTTGGTGACGCCAATCGAATGCACCATTGCCACTAGAACCGCATCGCATGTGGGCTGGACCTCAAGCGGAGAGAATGGTCGCGTGCCAGAACGCTCTCCCCCAGCCCGCACCTCGAAACTCACTACCCGTCGGCTTTCGACCGTGAGAACCAACCACCGAGACGAACGGCTCTGAAACTTTTGTCAGATTAATTCTGTCATGTAGGAATATTTTCTATTTAATTTACTGTGTACAGACATAACGTTGCAGTAATTTTTCTTTTTAGAACTTCGATTGTTCAGTTGTCGTATTTACTATAAAGGTATATATAAGATATATTGGTGAAATAATTATCTAGCATACATACAGCCTCGTAGCACGACAACTTGTATTGAACTCAAGATATTCTTGACCTGAAAAAAGTGGGATTTGAAGCACGATGTCGGCATCCGATTTTACCCGGCCAGTTAGTTTCCGCATTACAAATCCAACTGGCCTCAAAAATGTTTGAGCCCCTTAAGTGTTCGACCTGCCGAGGATCTTTAGATTTACCTCACAGAATTTGCGCCTTATTGTTGTCTTAAATAATTTTTTCCCCAAAATCTCTCAAAAGCTACATACATTCTGCAAAAACGACCCAAAGTTTGTACCGCATAAGTGCGTACCAAGCAAAACGTGCTTCCGGGCTTACTTCTAGTAACAAGAGCGACGGATAAAAACGTGCCAGTTACGACAAACAGTCGGCCAAATCCTGTTCCAATTTAGATACCGCACCCCATACGTATATATATATGTATAATACTCATCATATTATTGTAAGCCAAGTTAAGATCCAGATCAAAGCTAGGTTGTGTGAAGTTAAAGCAGTCTCTAGCCCGTCGTATGCAAAAATGAAAGTGATTGTTCTTCTACTAACAATAAACCATGTCGGCAGCTACTGTAGGCAATCTATGATAAATCGTAAGACCGTAGTGCTTATTTGGGCCATATATCTTTGATTTCACGTGAATATTTGGATCTGAAAACAGAGATAGATGCTTTAGATGCTCGTCCCAGTCCGAAAGTTGAATTGAGCCTTCTTTCGTCGCTAGTTTAAGTCGAGATTTGAACGTGTTGATGAAACGCGCGTTAGCGAAAGGATTCATTATCGGGATTCACCACTGCATATTCTTTTCACCAAAATAAAAACGGAAGAGCTTACAGTCCTTACGCTTTCAAGGCTTCCTGTATTGTCCTCCATAAGAGAATGTAGAGATGATCACTGGGTCGTCACAAAGGTGTTTTGTCTGTATATACCTCTCGTCGCGAGAGTATCTACTTTCACAAAGACATATGGTCCATGATGAATGTCTAGTTATTGTATACACCTGTGTAAAAATATCCTAATAATTGATAGAACGCAGAATATAGAAATGGTCTGCTATTCTTCATTTGTACAGACGGTGTTCTGTAGTCATACGCTGGTGGACTACTTAAAAGAATTGCGAGCATTCTATCCTCGTTAAGCAATGATAAGGGGGATGAAAGCAATGAAAAGCGAATGTACAGATGTCGTCCAGTTACCTGGGGTAGAAATACGGAGGCAGAGATATACATTCCTGTAGGATTCAAACTGCAAAGGGTACAACAACGTAAAAGTAACTTTAGCTTACGATATGTAGATTCCCTCGGAACCCATTTCTGTTTTGTCTCATAATAATCGTTGGTCAATGTTAGATATGTTATTGAACCGTATTTAGGTTAGCCATGTGCTTGATGAGCTATCGCGTAATGGTTCGCGAACTGTGCAAAGTTATAATTTGCATGCTATGAAAAGATATCTATTCAAATAACTCGTGATTCCTCTACAAATTCCGACTTGTAACATAAACACCAAAGACACCTTTTAGTTTAATCAATCTATCGTCGCACAAGTTACGTTGACGCAAATATGGTTTTTAAGTTCGGCTAGATATATGTTACAGTTCAATTAGAAGCACACATAGTTGCTACTCACAGATTAACAATTAACAGTAACTTTTACCTCACGGCAATAGTTGTTACCCTCGACTCCATTTTGTAGCAAGCGCTTTTGTTGTATATACACTGAAATATACTTATTTATCTTGCCGTATTTTTCGTTTGCGACGGTAACAATTCTCAACCGCTTAACCGGCCTGTCCCTTATATGCCATCTCTCGTGATTAGATCGCGCCGAAAGGCCTAACTATAGGCTGCGCTTGTACCGTGGCTATTGTCGTCGTCGCTATTGTTGTTGTTGTCGTTGGTTATGGCGGCGGCGGCGATGATGATGATGATGATGATGATAATGATAGCTGCTCGTAGCTACGGTTCCCACAAACGGTGTGGCGGTAGCGTTCCCGCGAGAAATGATGCCGAAACCTTCGGTTTCAAATTCGGACTCCTTTGGACTTTTTTGTCCCTATTAGAGTCGCCTTTTTTCCGTGCAGTGGCCGTCTGCCTAAGCTGTACATGTTACAGTTCTCAGCTGTGAGTCGGTACACACCGCGGCGCCACAGATAATTTCCCGCCTGGGGACGTCGACAACGTTAGATCAAAGCTCGTTGATGTGTGTATTCATTGCGTCGGAAACTTCCTTTACTCGCTGTGTTTTGTGAGAATGAATACATAACGTCGTCGCGTTCAGTTACAACAAAGTGACTTTGGACAAAAAGCACAAAAGGAATAAGCGCGCCTACGGTAAAAACGCCAGGAAAAACAATGACAACAGAAACGGCTGACGTGAAAGAAGCGATGCATCTCGGCACCTATTTATAATAACAGATTCCGATAACATGCATTGCCCATATATATATATATGTATATATTCGGCCAGCAGCTTTTCGATCTACCTACCCTTTGCACTACCGTATCGATAGTGTGTGAACATGCGTGGAATCGTCTTAAAAGTGGTACCTACGAGCAAGTAGATCCCTCAGCTCTGCCTTGCTGTAGCTCATTGTAAAAAAAGCTCGTTATAGGTCTTAGTAAGGCAAGTGGCAACTTAACGGTTCGAAGGCTAAAGCAAGAAGAAACAATTGTGGATCTGTGAGTAGCCTAACCTAAGTCTTCACTGTTGATACCTAACTCTAATATCGATCTTCTTGCTCCCATTCAAATCTTCAACTGGAAAATATATGCACGCTAACTTCTCTTATTATTCGTAAAAATATGTAATATTTTAATTACGTAGCATTTAAATTTTGGGACATCCATATTCCACACGCGGTCGCAGTGACCCGTAAAAGTAGACGAGTACTATTAATCATTACTGAAAAACGAGCCGTAAAGCAAA